TAATGGCTTATAGGTATCGGGTTTGCATATATTTGATTAGTACGTCCAGAATATATAGGCAAAGCAATTTCGGATATATATGCCCTATAACTTACCTTAAATAGCCGCCACTTACAGCACGTGTCTAGCTCATTGCGCCTTGACTGTGCTTAATAAAAATGATCACTAACTAAAGTTGGTGTCGATATTTACATTTAGTATAGCGCACATGTCTTCTGCGATCTCTGTAAATGAACGCGGAGCTTAAACAACTTAACTGCCGCAGTGACCTAATCGATTATTGAATAATACTGGCGGACAACATGGATATCCTAAGCACAATGGAAATCAATTGGAAGTCCTGCTCTAGCGTGGACAGAATTTATGAGCTAACTCGACCGCTGAAACCTAGAATAATGAACCATTATGGTGTTACTTCTGCTCGCCAGAATGTTCAGCTGCATTTTCGTGGCAGACAGCCATATCATCCATTATGCCGCGACAAATTGGACGCATTTCGCCATGACGACGTATGTTCAAGAAGAACAAGTGACTTTCCGAACCGACTGTTATTTCTACCAATAAAGAAACTTTGAGTCAGTCGTATACCGCCGCATAGTAGTATCGTCCCGTAGGAATCCATATGAAATCCATACGAAGATGTACTTGCCGAAGTTCTACATACGTAGAGAACAACAGAACGTTTGAGGCAATACATGTCCAATATAGTACAGTCTACGACGCGTGAATTCCTCGTGCTCGTGGTCGCGCAGTTAAGCTGCCGGTCGATCCGAATGTAATTTGCGGTTAGCTGCGAGCCCACTGCTGCCAATCCCACAGGGGGTCCTAGCAGGTCACCCATCTCTATGACTATTTACTGCCATACCTAGTTGTGCTCATGTATATGACTGAGTGGTCACCCTAGCGAAGTTTTCCTCTACTTGACGCCTTTTGCGATTACTAGCTTAACGCATTGTAATCTTGTCGCCGAGTCCGAACGTTGCGCGTACCGCGTCTACGACGGTGGTGGCAATCGGCGTAGAAAAGCAAAAAATACATTGCATACAGAAAAATAGCATACAGTAGCCACGCAGGGGACCAATCTGTTATCTACTATTGCTATTCATTTAATCCACAATCTTTCACTATGAAACACGCACAGCATGAATATCGAAGAAGCACGGCGTGCCTTTGGCGCGAAAATTTGAACGATAACTTAAATATTGTTCAACACGGAAATACACGTTCTACGAGAATCATAGGTAAAAAAAAAGCCGCATGTTCTTGTCCCGTGGTCGGCCCTACCTGTTTTACCTCTCCTTATTGTTACTTTTTTGATGTTCTTTTTGTTGATAAATATTTGTGAAGTTTTTCCTTGACAGGCAGCTGGCCTGTTTCTTTCGACTCTGTTTCGATTTTTTGCGTCGAGCGAAAGAAGACGGAAAGGACAACGGGATAGACCGACCAGCGCGAAAGATCAACGGCTGACATGCCCGTGTGTTAATGAAATGTGGTCCTAATTTTGCGGTTGCGGCCTCTGCTACGGTCGACTGCATCATTCACACTAACGGTGGTGGCGCTAGTGTCGGTAACGATGATACTGTGGGCCTTAGCTTCGGCTACAAGTCCCCCTCCGTCTGTGGCTGGCCGTCACGAATACACCACGGAGGAAGCGGCGCCTCCAGCGGCGTTGTAATTTATATAAAATTATAATCTACGGCACTCCCGCTGTATGTGGTACTATACGGCGCTATCGATTTGACTGCAGAAGTGAGCAGTGGTTCGATCCGTGCTTCGCGTCTTTTATAATTCCCGCCTGCCGATTCAAGCAGTCAGACTGGACCAGTAAAGTGAGAGCAATGACGACGATAAGTGACGTGTACTGTCGTACAAGGCATAGGACACATAGGCATAGGACACTCCGGCATAGCACCGGAGGACAGTCCGGTTGGGTATTCGCTTTACGCTGAATGGAAATGGGTTAAGAAGTGTAGGGGTACTCAAGCGTTCTGAGGGATCGAGAGCTGTCTGAACGCAACTGGAACGGTGGCTGCTTGGGGTTCGCCGAAAAGATCACAATGTCTTGACTACCTTTACTTTCAGCCTCCGAACAAGGCTGAACCTGAACCAGTAATAAAATTATAGGCATTAGACGGCTCGGGTCTTACTTCGTTCTGGTTACAACTTAAAGAGCAAGCCAGGGTCCGTACAGGTAACTCAGTGATTTCGCGCGCGTTAAGATGCCGAAACAAGCGAGAAGGTGTAAGCAGCAACAATCAGACGAAATGATGGTGGAGTGCCTAAGGTATTTCGTCCTCCGTGAAACGACCGACGAAGAAACGTCCGTTGCTATGAAGCAAATATGTTCACTTCGAACTAAAGAGATTTAGCTTATTATTAGTTTATGCTAAGTTCTTCACGAGGTTCATGTGTTTCTCTCGCAGCCTCATTCTCACTTCAGTAGAAGTGATGTCAGCCGATGGCCTATTTTTTTCGATGGGCACATTCATGCTCGTATGAAATGTATCGTACTTTCTGAAAAAAACATTTGTGAGCAGCTTATATGCAATTACAGCTAAGCCATTGTTTTGGGCTTTGCTGTTGTCTGGCCTGTCTGTGCTAACTGATTTCATGGACCCTGGTGCGGTTCTAATAGAAGCGAATGCAGTTCGCCCGTAATCCCCGCAAAAAACAATTCTCATTCGCGAATTTTTCATTCATGCTTTTTTTTTTCTCCACTGGTTTTCCCACATGCTTTAATTGCATTATATCATTGTTGCAAGTTGTCATCTTAGTTTTGTCTTTTCCTACTTTTACCACCTCGTTCGCTTTCTGGCAGCTTCGTTCGATAAACGGAATTTCTTTTCCTTTTCACGTATTCCGCACATCTTGCCCCACATCGACTGTATCCGAAGTGACAGTTTTTCAGCAAGCATGTGTGCGTGGTTGCTTTCGGCAGTGTCAATGTTCCGTTCTTATGTGTGCGGGTAAGAACGAGAGGACAATTTGGACGGCAATGAGGAAAGGAAATCTCGGTTCGTTTCCCATTGCTACCACCGTCTCCCACGGTAGAGAACGTGTGAGTTGGGTTCAACGACACTGCAGCCCCCATTTTCATGGTCTTCGCTGACACTGTTTCCGATATAGGAAATGGGTGTGTTCCTCCACTAACACTTTATTTAAGAGCCACTATTTCCTTTGCTTCGCCTTTTTTTTGCGTCATGTCGATCGACAAGAGCCTGTCTGCTTGCCTATCCGCGACAATGCTCTGATTATTACCTCTGCTTTTTCCGCGGCTTGCCCCGAAGCCGCCGTCCGTTAGTAAAGTGGCCTTTCTAAAAACGCTCCGGAAGCCCCCTATAACCTCCAAAAAGAGGTCTCCAAGAACCTCGTTGTTTCTGAATGTAGCGGCTGCACCCTTGATAGATGATGAAGAAAAGAAGAACGAAGAGTCACTCGCTTGCTTGTGGTTATCTGACGTTGTGCGGCAGATTGTCGTTCTTCTTCTTCTTCTTCTTTCAGTGATCCTCATTATTTAGTAAGAATGACTTAAATTGCTGTGATCATGGCCGTAGGTCGTTGGCATACTACACCTCATTGCCTGTCCATTGGTCTTTTCGCATTCGTACAAGCGCTTGCGCTAAGACTAAATGAAAAAAGGAGAATCGAAAGAAACAGAAAAATATAGAATGAGGGGTACCAGAAAGGAGCCCTCTACCCCAGCTATCCCGAGGAAGGCTTCGTAAGGAAAGGGGGTTGGACAGAAGAAAGTAAGAAAAAGGGCGGAGACCAGCTAAGCGAGAGCAGCGGGGCGGGACGCAGAGGGTAGTGACGAACGTGGATGGAAAAAAGATAAAATAGAACATGTCGTTTTGCTTGTCGAGCCCACTAACCAGAGGCGACCACGCCGAAGAAGATAACGGCGAAAGAAGGGAGAAAAGACGAGTGAGCGGACGAACCAAATCAGGCTCCTCGAAGAAGTGAAAAAGGATAATCCCTTTTTCCTTTTTCGCCTTTTTGGTTGGGTTTGAAGTGACTAGGGTTCTCGTAATATGTTCTGGGGTCGGGAGGCAGCTTGCAGTCTTTGCAGTCACCAAGAGCAACCGGGTTAGGGTCTCATCTTCGTGGCGTTTCGTTGCACGCCACTGCCGCTTGTGCGTATCGAAAAGACATCCATTGGTCTCGTCTCACGGTTCGGCACTCGATTTTGTGCTAGTCGTAGGCCATCCACTCAACCTTCGACGACCACCTGAGTCTCAAAGACTTTGCTCAGTGGAACGAAGCAAACGGCAAAAAACAGTCGACGAAAAATAAAAAGAATGTGGGGGCACTAAGGATTCGAGACGTGGGTAACGCCGGCCATGAAAAGTCTTCAGCTGCTGCCACCGCCGTTGTTGTCGTCGTCTTCGTTGTCGCCTGGCTGAAACTGGGGTTTCTCAGCGGCGGGGCATTTGTAGTACCGTCGATGTGGTGAGCTGTTCCTGAACCGTGTCTGACTCGATCGTGCAAGAAAAGACAACTTGAGAAGACTGTGCGGTGGATGGCGAAAGCGAACGGAAGCGGTGGTTGCGGAATGAAGAAGCGGCAGCAGAGAGAAAATGACAATAATGACAACGAAAAATTATCGAAAACCTTTCCAACGATACGACGATCCGTTTGCGAAACGCTTTTTGTTCTTGCTTGCTTAGGCTGTACAGAAGGAATTGGAAGAAAAGCATGCTGGGTCAAAAAGCGACCTCGTAGTAGGTAGCGTCCAGTAGTGCAGTACGAGAATCTCGCTGGTTCTAGAAGTCTTTGATATTTAGAGCAGCGAATGGAAAAGTTTTCCGGCGAAGCAGTCTGAGTTTGAGTCGGCTTCTGAAAATATAGGACATTATCTTCAGGGGGACTGTGGCTCGACGAGTCACAACGTTTACAATAATTTTCTTACTGTCTTTCGATGGTACTTCGGAAATGAGTCACGTTTTTAATCGCACCAATTCTAACCTACTGTTCCGTAAATTTTATTCTGTAAATTACAGATTTCGGATCGACAATACCGATCATATCATCGATGTGAACAAAGACAATTTAGTATTCGAGTACGACCAGGTAAACATAGTCTGCCCGAAGCATGATCCGAACGTGCCCGAGGAGGAAACTGAAAAGTACATCATTTACAACGTATCAAAGGAGGAATATGAGACTTGCCAGATTCGCGACTTCTCCCGGGCTCGCACGATTGCACAGTGCAACAAGCCGTACCAGAGCATGTACTTCACGATCACATTTCGCTCGTTCACGCCACAGCCCGGAGGGCTTGAATTTAAGCCCGGCCAGGACTATTACTTCATCGCCGCGTCGGAAGACATCCAAAACGGCGAGAACCACTGCTTGACGAAAAACATGCGCGTGCAGTTTAAAGTCTGCTGCAAGAAAGGTATGCCATCATTAACCTTGTCTTTTCTCAGCAGTTAAGAGCGACAGTAAAGCGAATTTTTTCCAAAAAAATCTTCCTTTTTATAAAACAATAGACACCAAATAAATGTTTGCTGGTTGTGCTTTTCACTCTTCCACTCCGGTAAGCTCATCTGCATGTGCGATTCCATTTGAGATTAATATAGGGTTCATGTCGTTCAAAATATGATAGCTTCGCGCCGTTTATTTAACCCACGCCATGTTTGTACTCTATTTTTCTGCAGAGGAAGCACGAGTCCGACCAACCCCTGCAGCAACTACAAGCACAACGACGTTTATGCCGAACGTTGAAGAGAACAATGTCATCTACCCGTTCTACACGCATCCGCCCTCGCACAAGCCAGCATCGGGTGGTCGTCAGGACTACTTAGACCGGCCAGACCGCCTTGGCCGCTTGGATCGCTTAGGTCACCATCGTGGATCGGACATTGGCGATCGGGACCGAGGTTTCCCCGTACGACGTACTCATCACGGCCATCACCACAATTCGCACGGAGGCGGAAGCAGCCACGAGGCGAGCAGTACGGTGGACTATTGGCCCCATATACCCCATGCGCCTGGTCAGGGTCAATTCGCTGGGGGTTACCCCTCCAGCCCTCGTAAGCCTGATTGGCCTCACAAGCGTCCCCACTTCAAGAATCCGGACCGACCTGTTTCTGACGACACGGCAGTGTTTAAAAAGCCGCTAAACAGCCTTGAAAGAGGTCGAGCATGGGAACGGGCCGGAAAGAAGGAAGGACTCACGAACAGCTCCAACAGTTTGCATCAAAAATCGTCGTTCATTGGACGTTTGCTCACGCTTGTGAGCACGTCTCTATTAATGCTTGTCATAAGAATGATGATGCAGCGGTGATCCGTTTGAGAGTTCCTGCCTGCTAAAAGTGGGCAGATGGACATATTATTGCGGAATACAGTGGATAGAAAAGAGACACTGAAGTCTATAGAATATCCGGAACGATATGATTATAAACTGTCGCACATATTTAAGAGAAAGGAGGACACCGTGGAAGAAAGATGAAACACAGAAAGGATAGAAAATGCTCTATGTACTATTATTACCATTATTATTATTTAGTGGTAGTAAAGGAGAAAAACGACTGATTGATATTGATGATATCTTACATGTGCCAGAACCTGTCTCAGTTTGGAGAACTCGACGATCGTCTTTGATTGGTGGCGCTGATAATGTATAGCAAATACGTTCGAATGGCGGTGCTGACAGATACCTCGGTTTTATTCAATTCAGCGATAATTCGTATGGAAATAATGAACAGTGTGTTAGTTGGAAGAAGCAAACGCATTCGATTTTGCCAGAGAGACACTAGGCCAAATGACAACAAATTAGCTCAGTTTATACAACTTAACACATATATATACATATATATCTACATATATATACTCTAACATAAGTCGGTAAGCTTACCGCCAATCCCACTCTGTGCCCTACCACCAGCTCGTGAAACGTTATCACGTTATAGGCTAGTTTGGGTTCTTGTAACTTTACTGATTGTCTAACCGATTGATCTCAGCTACCCGTAATATAATGTCCAATATATGTAAAGATATATATGTATGTGTATAATCGAGTCGAGTGGCGCGACGTACAAGATTTTCCGCCCCCTACACAGGGTTGGAGAGACGGACACATTATAGCAGACGGCTTCAAACGTGGCGCAGGTTCTTGGCGTACGGCTGATAGTGGCTCCTTTACTATCTTGTCTGTAAATAGTTGCAGTATCAAGTGGACCACACAAACAAACCAATATAATTAATACACAGACACGCGTAATTCATATTATAAAGATGACTATTGGCGCCGTACCTTTGCATTCTGGTGGAGTAACCGTCAGGTCCGCAGAAAAGGTTCCGAAAATTTTTAAGTCCCTTGAGCCCACTGCTCAAAGACCTATTCGAGGTCTATGCCTCTAACAGATGCTGCAAGAGAAATCGACCTCCGAAGTCTTTTAGGAGAATTTTGAAGAAATTGGCTATCTAGCATTACAGACTTACTGAGGGCTGCAGATATGTAACAGTTCCGTCGTGTTCAAGAATTCCACCAGATAAGGAGAACATCTAAGCGATGGCGATAATATTAAGAGTTTCGAAAGAAATACATGTTCTCACGAGATAATAATTGAGAAGAATTAAGCGGTACTGTAAAGAGTAACTAGTAACAGACGTAAGAAAGTAACAGATCTACAGATCTACTCAGAGACACCCAAACATTTTGAAGTTGTAAAAAGAATACGCGGCAAGTGCATAAACAGAAAAAGAAGACATATAGAGAGATGAGGTGTTACGGGCACTAGACGGACGGCCTACAAAAAAAAGGCAGACAAGCCATAAGCAAAGAAGCAAAACTAAGGATATTAAATGATCACTGTGCGAAAACAAGATTGGCGTTCGATGAAACTTCGTAGGAGCTCTCGTCTACGCCTAACCGAGGCACAGGTCAGACGAGAAGGCAACCGAGAGAAATAGACAACATGCCCGATGCTGTGATATATTTATTTTCGGTGTTATTTTCAAAAAACAGAAACCGACACACAAAAAATAATAATAAATAAGATTATAGATAAGTGATCAAGATAGAAGGGATAAATGAAACACAACCGACCCATAAGGGGTCGTGGAGTAAAATACAGGGAATGACATGCAGGATGTTGGGAGCGACTGGAACAGAGGATCGACAGCAAGGAGAAGCTATTAATACCAGTAGGAGAAAGAGCTAAGTGATTAAACTCAGGATGAGTGCGTGAGACAGCACCCATCAAAATGTTAAATCGACATACTTGTAAATGTGTTTGTCGATAGAATAAAAGGGAAGAAATGCACCTAAAGTGTTATTCTGTTTTTCTGTTGAAATTTACGGGATTCGAAGTTTGGTGTAATTGCTTTTAGATAGACGGCTTGGAGTGGAAGAAGGAGTGTCAACAAGATGTCTGTGTCTAGCTATATGAGTGTGTAAGCTGGATGTGTATCAGTATTTAAATTGGTATCATTATATGTGAGCATAAGTATCTGCGTGTGTGTCTATGTGTGTATAAGTGACCAGTTCGTACGTTCCAGCGTATGGGCGATATTTTTTGTGAATATGCGCTTACTGTGTGTCTAAGATACCGAGCATGTGAGGAGCATCTGGGTAAACTCAAGACTCCTGGACAGGGGCAGAAAGTTAGAAAAGAAGAATCGGAGAAATGAGAGGGTCGAGCGAGGGGGGTATTTGAAAGCTGAGATATATGTATGGAGCAAATCTAGACAAAACTGAGAGACCTAAAGAGTATCCACCGTTCGTTTTTGCTGTCTACGAGTAAGAGCCGTGTGTAAATAACGACGAGAATATAGAGATATGGTCGAGAGAATGGTCATGAACAGTGGAGATGCGGAAAATCAGGCGCCATTAACGAAAGGACAGCGTTACTTGCCATTTCGTTTGTTACCATAAAATGAAATGATTAATAATTCATCAACGGTGGCGACAGAGGTTTTTTTATTATCTGAAAGCTATTACCACAATAAAGAAGAAAACGCGGAGCGAAAATTACACAAAAAGAAAGATGACAGAAATCAGTTATACCTGTGTACAAGGTCATTTATTACCCAACGTCGTCTTCCCCAGTCCCTGCGGGACCACGGAGTTGAATCACGGTCTAACAGCCTGATGACCCAAAAACAACCCTGGCAGATTTCATCGAAATCCCCCAACCTTGCTCTCTGACTCTACGCATATTTGAAACGGTCTCCAATTAGCGTCGTTTTAATTGAACTCTGTTCCGAAGATTTGGCAAGCACATCATGCATTAAGCTTCGCAAAGTCTCTTGATATAAAGAATGAGAAAATGAGTGACCCATTTTCTCAACAGCACTGCGGTCAACCCTATGTTACTAAGAGGAAATATCTCCGGAATAGTGTTTTAAAATTCAACTCACAGCCTAGTAGCAAGGCCCAAGTAGTAAAACCCCCCAAAAAATACGATGTGCTGACTAAGCAGCTCGGGATACATTAAAATAATGGTCTCGTAAATTAATGTATTCACGACTCTTCGCAAGCATGTCATGCTTTTGGTAAGCAAGCCTCACACAAAAATCTCCGGTTGGTTTGGCTTAGCGACGAAATCGCTTGCCATTGCAGATCTGCCCAGCGTAATTGCACCTGCCACAACGCAACTAGCCTATACACTCACAATTGTTTACTGTAGTGTTGTCAAGTAGAAAACATTAAATAAGATCTTGCTATAATATCTCAATTAGCACCCAACCTTTGACACGATTCTTTGACGCCAGCTCCCCACCGTTTTCACCGAACAACGTAAAACGCCGATAAATGGAAGAGCGGTATCGACCGTGGTGCTGATAGCACGGTCCAACTCGATCTCGACATTGCTTCAGCCCGGTTACATTACCAGCTGATACAATAAAATCATATAAATTCATATGTGGCCAGTCGCCATTGAACTGAGTATAGAATGAATCAAGAACGAGATCTATTAGAGGGAAAATCGCCGGCGGCGTGTGGTCACCGCGAAAAAAAATCAGATCAAGGAAAGACGGTTAAGTAAAGCTGCGAGGTGACGTTGCCCGTCCGAATTAATGTACATAATAGAGATACTATTAATAACGATAAGTATATTCATATGATGAATATGACGCCGATGATGACCATGAAAAGAAGGAGTCTATTGCTAACAGCGGCGAGAAGATTATACAACGCCTAAATAGCGTAAATGGTTCGAGTGGCAGACATGATCGGCGAAGGGATTGGTAAATTATTTTTTGGCTAGAAATTGTGGCTGAATTTTTCAACATAATTCCCGTGCCTTCTTCTCCACAACATGTTCCGGTGCTCCCTTCATTTTCGAATGAGTATTTTGGTAGTAAAAAAAACTTCGTTGAGTAATCTAATCTATCAAACAAAACAAAGAAGTTCCGCTAACAAAGAAAAATCACAACGTTTCGATATTGTTCCTTAGGTTGCTTCTGTTGTGTGGAATGGGGGCGCAGTAAACTATACGGTCTGAACGTGCGATAGATGATCTAGATCGTAGTGATTTAACGCGATATGCTGTCGTACGTGGAAGAGGTTAGAAGTGAGTGCCTATGAATTATGTTCAATAAACCAGTTCATCACCAGCACCATCACTCTGTACCATCCCTGGCGTCAGTTGTGTAGTCTTCTCGTTCGCGTCCTGCATCACACCTGTGTTGTGTCTGTACCCCGGACGGAACGGCCGCCTCGCGCCACAGCTACAGAATGTTAAAGGAAATCTATATATAGATATATAAATACTATACAAAAAAATAACAATTACAGTTAATGAGATTAAAAAGTAAACGTAATGATAAACGGTTATCATCACAGCTGTGCACAAGGATACAACTTAATAATAATTTGAGCAAAAAAAAAACTTATAATCAGAGGAAAAGAGTAGGAAGAAAGTCAGTATAAAAATAGCAAATCAAATCACCGAGGGAACCTGAACAGAAAAGCTCGATTTTTGAAGGGAGCGAACAAAGTAATGCGCGGTCAACATTGGAGAATAGCATTTACGATAATAACTTTACAGTTCTTAGTAAATTTAAAATAAAATGATTCAAAAATCTACAACTATTAGAAAAAAAAAAGCTATTATTATTATTGCTACTATTAAAGACCCTTATTGTAACCCTGACATAAATATTAGGATATATAATTATAACATTTTTGCAGCCATGCATCGTGAAGCCGCTTTGAAAATCTCCCACCTTCATGAGAACGTTTTCTGTGCATAGAATATTTACAAAAACCAAAATAAGTGAAATGGGATAAAAATGATCGTTACTGCTAGTGCAAATTTGAGAGGAAGTCCCAGGTAACAGAAAAAATATATAAGAAATTATTATTATTAAAGACGAAAAAATACCCTGTATGAGAGAATTTTAAGGGCGCAAGCAATTTTTTCCCCCTTCGGAGTTTTTTGCTGAACAAGTCAACGTGCGTAAGGCAAAATCAACTTACCACCTAAACAAACAGATAAACTTCAAGATGACAACAACGAAGATTGAACAGAGATGAGAACTCAAATGAGCGGGGAGCTAGACGAGCCCTGTAGCTAAAAAACCGTGTGTGTAAATATTAGTTGTTCCTTAATTTGTATTATATTTAAATATTTATTAAACAGACATAAAAAGCCTATAAACAACATGAATAAGAAAAAAATACTAAAAACAAACAGAAATAAATGAATGGCATTTAAGACGATGAAAATCAGCTTTATGGTCTTTTCTTGATCGTTGTAATGTCTTAAACTCTTTTTTAATGTCTATTAAATCTGAGTGCGGGATACTAAAGAAAAACATCATAAAATTACCGTCTCTACCACTTGGCAGACTAGTACAAAAATACGACGTAAATCACTTGCGACTGTATTCAAAATAGAGGAAGATGTTGATAACTCGTATAAGCAGATGGCAAAACTTTCTCTTTTTTTTAATTTCAATGACATATTAACTCCTCTTTGCCTACGAGGCATAAATGGAATTCTGTGTCGTCTATAACCCTTTGGTAGGGGTCCACATAGGAAAGGTTGCCTCGTAAACTGTTTTATATTGCTTCAGGACAGAGCTGGCCATGACAGCGTGTGCCGTATCTACGGAGATAGACAGACCTATGCGTGCAGCAGCAGGGTGAAGCGATCGGGGTTATTAGTGCAGCTAATGAAGCGTTGTTTGTTTCCAGCCACCGACCGATCTGTGGGGAGGTGACGGATCCCCCGACAGTTGCCTCCAGCCTGCAGCGAAGTCGTAATTGAAAGGCGTTCGGGCAGCTGCAAAATTTGGCGCCGTTACGTTATACGTTATACGGGTGATTTCCGGTTATAGGGAGCACCGATAGCGCAATGATCAAATGCGATTTGTAGCCGTTGTTTCGCTGGATCGGATCCACTGTGTAGAGTGAAATTGCGAGCTATTATAGAACTAGGGCTAAATCGAGAAGAAAAGACAGACGTTAGATTGGGACTATCGTTGGCGAAAGCAGACGTCCGTTTAGCACGATGAAGGCAAACAGCAGACAGAAACCGGTGTATTACTGCAAAGGTTCTATACATTGATACGCGACTACAAAATCTTTTTACAGCAGTCTTGGCTCAGTATGTAAGTGATATGCAAGTGATTCAGAGGACCCCGATGGGCTTTTGACGGATGAACTTAGTAGTGGGCGACATAATGTGGGAATTTCGCACCTAACGTCGCTGTTGATAGGATGCGCGACACCCGCAAATGCTCCGTCCGGAAGCGGAAAAACATTGAAGCAAGACAAAATGAAGTAGTTTTGTTGTTGAACGATTGATTGTTTTAGCTAATGTCGGCGTCTGGCTAAAAGCCATCGGACAACGCGTATAGGTATATGGAGGAGCGGCATTCCCGATGAGGCCACCTTCAATACAATCGAATCCTCTTAGTTCTGTAGATGTTGACAAAAATAAACAATACTGTATTATAAACGCATCAACTACGCGCCTATTTAAAACCCACGAGAGCACATGTGCTTGGTAACTTTAAGTACCGCATTGAACTTAAGACATCCTACCTGCGATATGTCAGCGCCCGTAACTCTGGTCGCAGGCAAAGATTTCGCGGCGCTATCCAGCAAAATGCATGTACAAGCGCTTAATAATATAGGTACGGTTAAAGGAGAACCGAATTTTCCACGCCAAGGATAATTAGTTAGACAATCGATTTGTATTCATTTCGATCCTAGCCAGACGCACAGGCTGTTTGGAGAGCTGCGTAAGTCTATAGAAACTTTGCGTTTGCGAGAATAATTGGCAGTATAAAATCTTCTCTCTTCATATCCATTCAACACATATATTTAGCTTTGAGACCAACATAGTTTAGCTGGCGTCTCATGCACTTAATGTAACTTAGTGTACCTAAACACGGATGAAACACGGATAAATAGCACATGTTGTCTCTGTAACTCTCTCTCTCTCTGTAACTCTGTATAATCTATAAAGTCCATAACGCTGGAAACCTTTCCTCTGGAAAAGTACGATATTGGCGGCGCTCGAAATTCTTCCGTAGCAATCGCTTCTTCAGATTGAATTCCCATTAGAATATATTTGTTCGATATTATGATTGTCGGGATAGCCTTGCCTGTGGAACTCGAAGATTTCTAGCGAGCTTCCAATGGCAAACGTTTGTTATACTTCTAGACGAACGCATAAGTAAAAGTAAACAGTAGCGTGTCCGAAATGATCTACGATCCAAACGAGGTTACAAAAATACTTCACCGTGCGTCAATCGAGGTTTTCGTCTAAAATATTCCTTTAATTTAGTACGTTCGACCATCGACATCATACAGGCTAATTTTTAAAGTGTAATATGTGGGTGTTTGCGTTTTTTCGTCAGTGTGTACGAAGCGTGTATATGTCGAAAAGTTCGTAGGGGTATTGGAATCACTGTTCTGCGTCTATAAAAGTAAACAATTCAGTCCGTTTAAAGTTTAGGTGACCGCATCTACTTCAATTAGTTTTTAGTTATTACAGTAGATGGGTAGGTTTGTTGTATTGTTGACTGCTAGACAAGCGACAAATGGCTCATTTTCGGTAAGCTTCCACAGGTGAACCGAGTGTTGATTTTTTCCATTATATTATTTCCAAGAAGAGTTTAGCATTGCTTGTTTACAAAAATAGTCCTATCGAATATATCGTTGCTATCGTCGTCCTTCTTCCTGTGTGTAACATGCGGTAATCACACGGTAAATCCATGGACCAGCGAGCTCTTACTTCTGACAGATCTGACGCCGTTATGGTTGTTGACCTACTATTGACCACCGCTTTGATACCTATCCAAATTGTTGCGAATCTCCGAAAATGTATGCGTTTATTCCCAAAATTTTTCGGAGCAGACGCTTTACAACATAAACTAGATGAACTTGGTTGAAGTACGAGCAGTGTCATGAAGACTTTATGACCGCACACGTTTGCATAGGGGAATTTCTAGTTTTTGATACACGGTTTATACCGTAGCGGGCTATTGTCATTCACCGGGTCTATAAGCGGCACATATTAATCTAACACGCTATTGTTATTCAACACATTACCGTTTGATGCGATTTCTATTGAAAAGTTATCCTCTTGAACATTTTCAGGGCATTCATCATCAATAAGTTAGCTCGAACTCGCTAGCCCCAGTGTGTATGTTATTATATTTCAAGTTTTTCTGCTTTTTACCCATGCTAATGGAACGCATAATGTATGTTAATATGCTATGCTAACTTTAAAATCGATCGGCATCCAATAGACTTATAAAGTGCTGCCAACGTGCTTAGAGAGACAACACACAATGGCCTGTTACCTTTCCGTTCGCTATTGATCAAAGTGTCAAATGACTGAGTCGAAGCTTCATTAAGATTGTCTACTTTGTAATTTATCTTTGCAGATCTGGTCCACGATAGGCCTTAGGGCCTGTAGCTTCAGGCTTACCTAGTAATAAACCTCTCCTATACAGAATTTCGTTACTCGCGATAGGTGTTCTCAAAAACTTAGCGATCTCATACACTTTTTCGCAGTTCGTCCACGGGAGATCTTCCGCACTGCTCGCTGCTTAGATTCGTTAACTCCGTAGTCGATGTTAGTGTTATTTTCTTAATAGTGTGATCTGCACCAACGTCGCGATCTGCGTGGGCGCAAATAGCTAATAAAGTCGCAACTTTCCGATCTCGGCTGCCTATACCTTTGAAAGCTACAGAAGCGTTCGACACTCACTATGTCCGGAACTTGCGTCAGTATTGTGAGGACTTCGGGACCCCACTATCGCCGATTATTGGCCATTTACGCCGTTGCCAACTTGCTGATTGCAGCTGTGGGCTTAATGATGATCGCGCCCCGTCTAGCAACGTCGAGACTTTTGACACCAATCTGTAACAACCCATGACCCAATGGTACTCGACGGTGCTAATAAATACATGATAACATGCCTTGGCACACCTCAGCATCGAGCATCGCCGGACACTATAGTGGAAATGGTGGCCCTTTTGCCCGACTGAAATCAGTACTTGCGAAATAAGATCACTGATCCAAGCTGGCCACGTATGTTTCGCCTATTCTAGTAGCACGAATGCTCTGCGGTGCATATTACGACCTCGGCGTAATAGTCGAAGGATTTTCTTTTAGTATTTAATTTTCTTCTTATTTTTTAACACATGCCGTCAGCATATGTTAAAATGCATAATAAACGTTATGACCAAAAGAAGTTGCTTTATGATAGAAACTTATAGCCTAGTCGTCTTCTGGTCCAACAATCGGCCGATCAAGTTCGTTAGACAGACCTTTTCGACCCTTTTAAGGAAAAAAAATCGCTTTGCCTTGTCCTTACATAGTTTACTTGGTACAGCAAGCAGTCGGAGTTATATTCAGTCAGACGTGCTCCCTTCAGCTGCCAAATGTCGTACTCCCTAAGACGCAATACGGCGGATGCACCGCTCTCGGTATAACCCGTATGGCCGTTATGGCTTGCCGAAAAGACGGCTGGCGCAGACGCTTGGCACCGGAACGGTATGGATTATGTTCATATCATACGATAGTTGTTGAACCCACAGGCGAATTGCAAGGTGCAGAGGACTGCCCAGGGGTGACCTTCGTCCTGGTTCTCACTTGGTTTGCCTGCTGCTATGGCTGATATACGCAAAAGCGTCTGCCCTGTCTTTATCCTACAGCCGAGCTAGCTTTAAAATAGCCGACTAGTAGACTAGCAGAGTGCGTAGAGATGAGCCCCGGTTGGTCTGATTTGGTGAAATGGATCTGAGAGTTGGTGTGGTCGAGAGTTGGAATGTCCTGGCACTTGCGGCTTCCGGACGAGTTGGGGTTCAGACGAAGCCATCGCTGGTAAACATTGGCAGACCTGGCCAACAACATGACCGTGTGCCAATATTCTTCAAGCTGCCGCCGCTTCGTTCGTTATGGGTGAAGGCCTGTGCGGCGCCGTCTGGACCACATCAGGCAAAGCGCTTCCGGACTGAGGCGTGCTTTTTTATAGTGCTGCCAAAGCACCACCGTTGTACTCGTCCGTTTGCTCTTGCTGTTGTCCAAAACGATCGTTCGAAAGCACACAATTTACAGAAGCACTGCGCGGTCTCTGTCGACGTCCCAAATTTCTCTATAAGGGAGAAGAATTCCAAAGGCATTCAGGCATTAAGGAACTGGAAGGTAGACTTTGCCATCCACATAAGCTTCGGACGAGTAGGACCATTTGGAATAATGTTAGGTACCGCTGGTATTAACGGCAGCAGCAAGAGTTCG